ACAAAGTTTTAAGCAAATATATTTTAAATAGTAATTATCGATATCGAAATTTTTTTAACTATCAAGTACCAAAACTAAAAAAACCCAAAAAATATACTTTATTGACAAAGTTTCATAAAAGAAAAAAAACAATTTTTATTTTAAGTGAACATAAGCGTACACATACAATTTGTAGCATGATTAACAAAACAATTTTTAAAACAATCTATTATATAATTAGGCATTTTTTTCTCCATCTATAGTATCCACATAGAAAAAAATATTTTTTTTAAACATTTAATTTTAAAATAGTCATTTACTACACGCTAAATCATATTTATTGTTTTTATAACCAATAAAAAATTAAATTAGATGAAAAAACGTTAATACTAAATAAAATGAATGAAAATAAAAATTAATAAATACAAAACTACACATGATTTTAGTAGTAATGATAATATGAATTTTGTTTTACCAAAGTTATATATTACACATATAAAAAAACCTAAAATGTGTATATGGATGTTATATATGAATTTTGTTTTACCAAAGTTATATATGAATTTTGTTTTATAATTAAAAAAATTATTTAAATTCAACTAACGTAATAAAATGTTAAGGAAAAAAAATTAGATTATTTTAAAAAGTTATATATTCATAAAATATGAATAGTTTTTTCTTACTAAAAAATTTGTAATTAAAAAAAAAACAAAATCTTACATTCAACCACACATTAGGAAGACAAACATTTAAGAAATCGTATCTTAAATTTTCAACTATTTTTCTACGATGATCAAAAACTAAAATATATATAAGCTTACCAGACGAAGATAAATGACAAAAACTACATAATACTATTTTAAAAGAAACTACGTGTCTCTTCAACTCTGAATAGCCAAATCTTAAATCAAAATTGAAGAAGAAAACCTACACCTTACTGATGAAGAGATAAACTTTCTCATTCATCGACTGAAAAGAATGTAAACAACAAGCAAACAAGATGTTGTTCAGTATATTTCATATGCCATATTACTAAAGAATTGTGAAGTGCTAAGTATAAGATAATAACAAAGAGACATTGTGAAGACATATGGAAACCCAAATGATTGATATTTCATACTAATATAAAGATAAATTAGAAAATGACTGATAAATTTGATCTACAAATTTGTTATCGATTATTTAGATAACATAATTTATTTAATGGCCTAATTTATGTACATAACAAAGTTTTAAGCAAATAAATTTTAAATGATAACTTTGATATTTTCATGCATCTTTAAAACTAATTCAAAACGTTTGTTTATTTGATTTCAAATCAAATATTGTTTTCTATATCAAAGATTTAATAGTTTTTATCATAACATAAATACTAAATCCATAAATAAATAATTATTAAACTGAATAAAAGTATAACAAAATCTCACGCGAATGCGTGGGTCATATTCTAGTTTTTGAAATGAAGGAACAAATTAATTTTTCAAATTATGAATATCCAATACATGGGGAAAAATTGTATCCTCTACAACAACCTAATATTAATTTTCTTTAGAACC